TAGTGGCAGTGGTGGTGGTGGTGAAACAAAGCAAATTAAAACAGCAAAAATAAAAAGGGAAAAAAATATAACTATGAACTCAATGTATTTTATAAAGAGGAAATACATTCGTTCCCATTTTAAATGCACTATCGTGCACTATTGTAACATTTTTTAGCTAAATTAATGAAATTATTTCGTGAAAAGTAACTAAATCATGCAAAGTAAACATCCAACTGTTTTGTTTCTGTTGTATTGTGGCAAATGATTTTGCGGAGAGATTAGAGATTGAAGAGTTTCACTAAAAATTAAATGCTTATACAGTACATAAATTGTTTTGATAAAATAAAATGTTTTACAAATTAGAGCTATGTACATGTAACATGCAAGAGGAAAACGTTCCCTTTCACATATCAAAATAAAGAAATCAATTTTAAACTTATCTATAAAACATTTTTATAGTGAAACCATTCCCCTGTTATAAAACAGATAAAACAATTTGATAAAAAAGTTATAGTAATACAAACAAACTGTATTTTCGCATGAAATTCACAGACTGAATCAACTTCCAGAAGCAATACAAAATAAATGTCTGCTTTTGAAATAAATAGGGTGAAGCCTATTAAAAGGATCAAAATCAATTTGTCAAGAGAACAGACTGAACCAGGTGAACCTGTTTGATCAAAATGTCATACCATTTATGATTTCTAAAGTGAATATAAAAATGTCAGTAACACGTAATACGAAAAGACCACTACTGTTTCTAGTGAATAACATGCAAAAGTAATATATAAGTTTACAGCATTGTTAACGAAAATGTCCAGACCAATTTAAGCCCACACAAATAGGTAGACAATAAACTGTTCACAGAGGTTGATGCGTGAGAAATAAACTCTTATGTTTGTAAGTTTTTCGACACCTTCAATAAATATTTTGATATAAGGCAATACAAATAATTTTACAGCTTTTGTAATGAATTTAATGACATTGGATTAAATAACGGAAATTAATGGAAACTGTCAGTGAATTCGGATAATCGCCGAATCGAATAAGAGTAAACAACAATTATATTATCATGTAAATGTAATGTTTATAAATAAAATATTGTTTAAACTAACAATTATATTGACAAATGCTAGTACGAAGGATTACTCATTTCTCAGCCTCCTGTTTAACATCGTAGGTTAACTTACCCTTCAGGACATAACATTTTTGCTTATCTATTTTAATTTGTTTATTTTTCTCTTCACATGTATTAAAATGAACGATAATGAGATTTTAAAAATTAAATTATTTATATTGCATTTTCTTATGTATTCCATTTTTCTTTCCTTAAACTTTTCTGCCTTTCACATGTTCAAACATGTAAACACCTACTAATCCGGAAACCTTTCTAATCCGAACTTTTCTTCTGGTCCGGACGAGTTCGGATTAGAAAGGTTCAACTGTATCATAATCTGATAAAATAGTGCTCCACTAGGTGATGTGTCTATTCAAATGCACATATCTAAAATCAGTCACGTTAATAGGATAGGAAACAAACACTATATGAACATTGACACCACAAGCAAGTGTAAAATATGAACAGGATTTACTCTAGAAAGCACTGGGACGGCAAATAAGATGTAACTTATAGGACTGAATACATTACTTCTGTGTTTTACTTTTTAAACAAACAGGACATGACTGGACTAACTATTACAGGAATCATTAAGAAATTATCATGTAAAACATGCCGCATTCTTAAAATTAGGAGTACTGGTCGTGTTTGTTCAGACCCTAGACTGGCTGTTTTTTTAGTGTGTCTTTAAGCTCCTAGCTTCCACAATCGAACAAAAATAAATTCTGTATCAAATAATATCAGTCTTGAAATTTCAATACTAAATGAATTCATATTTCAAGGAACGATATGATATAGTTAAAATATATGAATTACATTTTTAATTCTTGACGAGTCACTGTTTTCGTTTTTGAATAATCAGGTTTACTGAATCTATTAAAAGTTTCATTTAACAAAGTAAACATGAATCATTTAATTAATGTTAACTTCATTAATTTAAGTAGCTATACATTTTTACAATAAGTTCCAACACCATAAGGTACATGTAACAACAAAATGAAATCAATAAATTAAGATAAATACACGAACTGCTGCAAAAACATTATACATAATTATTATATATACTAACATGATTTGTGCTATTACACATTAAAGAGAAGCTCTGATTCTAGAGTAACAAAAATACTTCATTCTTGCATAAGCTTTTTGTAATGAAAACAAAGGCGCGATGTTCTTCAAAGATTGTTTCGTAAACATTGTTATCAAATTTAAATATTTACAGGAATAACAAAACACCAAGCTATTTAATAAAATGCTGATAACGCTAGAGGTTATTAACAATTTGCTTTATTATGGGACAAAGCTCAATATTTGCCTTTTTACATTATTAGTTATGGTTGTCATTATCACAGGTTTAGTCTGCTCGTTGATTACCTCAATAACAATTTAAATAGGGCTTCAAAACCGATTAGTAATAACCGGTGGTAATTTCCACAAATATATTAGGTTTAATCAGCCTTTAGTTTTGAAGGGGTAAAGGTGTTTTTTTTAGATCAATCGTTTAATATGATTTTCATATCAAAAGGATTTAGTTTGAAGATGAAATGTGTGGACGATAAAATACATAAACAACAAGGAAATCCCTTATTCGGTCAATTCAACAGTGAATGCTTATATCTTTTTATCTCTCGGGCTAAGTTTGATTGTTCTTATGCATGATACGTGAAATTGTTTTCAAGATATGTCTACTAATGCCATCAAGCAATCAAAATTCTTAGCTTTTATTAACATTATCACCACTTTTGTTATGTTATTTCATTTATATGTCTATTTCTTTATTTTAGAATTTATGTAAACGTTAACAGTTAAAAAAAACCCAATAAAATCGTTTACATTTGAGACACTTGAATTATACTAAATTTGTGATGCAACATTTTCAATTTTCCCGTTTTGGGCGTTCTTTATCTATTCTCTATTCTAACAGAAAGTCGCAAATGAGCCAGCTTACATTAGATCAGGGATTCAACTCAGTTGTTCGCTAGGGCCTTAACTGAAAACACGATTATTACATTGAGTTATATAATGAAGATGGCAATTATTCTTTTCATTCGTAATTTAATCACGAGCTCGTTGATTGTACCGAGTGAACGTCATTATACACCTTTATTCAAACTGAATCCATTTCTCATCTATCTCATTTAAATAATGACCGTATTCAACATTTATTATCTAAAAACTAGAGGCACCACGGAAGCTAATTATGGGAGTTTCCTGAAACACAAACAACCACTCTTAGGTTTTTAACCTCAATAAAATAAATAAAACACTGCTCTAAAATAGTTTATTGGTTAATCATTTCAGAATTTGTGTCGGTCGGATATAAAGCGCAATTTTTCAAAGCACTATAATTATCAATTATAAAGTAATAATAGTATATCACTACTTTTTAAATGATGTCAACCATACGTGTTGTAATTAACATATAAATTGTGGCAATGGACGTAAATAATTAACTTATCCAATCAACGCATGTTATCTTTCGAGTACTTTTCGAGGACAAGATGAACACAATAGACAGAAAACTTATAATGTCGAAGGCTTTATTCGAAACTGTTGTAACTAATTTTACACACAGGAGTTACAACCATTTTGCACCAAACACACGATATGCATATATTGTACTAACAAATAACAGGAATTGAATAAAGATTAAACGCCAACATTAAGACTGTATAAAATTATATTTGTTGATTTAACTGCGATCTAAGTATGTTTATCTGTTTTATTCATTTTAAAGGAGATGGTTATGGGTTGTATGATTTACATGATTGACATTTTGATATTTGCCAGTTGAAATCCTGCAGTTGTTTTAGCCATTTCATTATCATATATTTTGAAATTAAAGACAACCGTTTTATCAAAACATTAATATTTGTGTAAGAAGTACAATTTAATATTACAAATAATAGTTATTGAAAAACAAAAATGTCATGGAATTCATTTAGTCGATCGTAATTTTCTTAATTTCCGTAACATTTATAAACAATTTTCACAAATTGCAAAATGATAATTAATATAGTATATGGAACAACAAATGCTTGAAACAAAACACGAGCAAAAAATGAAATGTAAAGCTGTTACAAATTTATAGCATAACATAACATTGTGTATATATTTTCCCTTTTTATTGTACCTTTCACTTTGTTGAAATGCTCACTATTTTCTACACGATTTGTTTGGTTATCATTTAATATTTGCTATGCTTTTAAATGTTTTCAAGTAAATGCATAACTATATCAAAGATCTGGTAGAAGTGAGATAAAAGATCACAAAACAATATATAAATTTTGCTTTATCAACAAATCCCCATCAACAGATTCCTCCTTATAAATAAGATTACGTATCATGTTATGATCTTGAATAAAAAAGCATCTAAATACTTTTGTACGATAATCCAATCATTTTTGGCTGGAATCAACTAAAGAATAGTATTTTATGTCTGCATTCACTGACGTCTGTCAGATATTATACTCAGAGATTGTTCGCCATTATAAAAGAGCCTCACGATGCAGAAATTCCAATATTGGAAAAGTCAGCTGATGGTTGAAAACAGATAATAGAGCTATTTGTTAAATCCAGAGGACGTATGCAAAAAGAGGGACTAGTCATATATTATGTTTAGCTCGATGGATTTATTAAACTTATTAAACAGGAAATAATGACAAAAAATCAGGGATTAAAAAGAATTAAAACAAGGTGTCACGGGCATTTAAATTAAGAGCTGGATTAAAAAAATCAATCAATACATTCGATAGAAACCTGGATATAGCGGTGAAATGTAACATACTTCAAATTTTACCATATCTGCATCATTATATTTTGAAATTCATTTTAAATTTCTGTGGAATGATATATTTGCAAACTTTGTGGATCACATCAATGCTATAAAACCCCAGAAATAATGGGTTGTGCAAACTCTTTACAATATAAGAAACATCCATCCAAACACATCAGTCCAAACAAAGATCCCATAAAATCACGGATAATATTTACATTGAAATGTCCGAGAGATTTACCTCCATTAGAAATTAAAACGGTTCAGCAAACTTGGCCTTCGTTGGCGAAAGACTTACAAGGTAACGGACTTCAGATTTTTCTGAGAATATTTGAAATATGTCCGGAAATCAAGTTCCTGTTCCATGTTGAAAACGTTCGACATTCACAACTTGCAAGAAATGACACCATCAAGGCGCATGGTAAACGTTTTATTAATGCCATTGGTTTTGCAGTGGAAAATTTAGAGGATATCGAACAAGAAGACAACAAATTGTGTAAATTTCTGTTTAACCTTGGAAAGCAGCACCAGAATTTTCAGGCATTTAAACCGGAATATTTTGAAATATTTTATGAAGCGTTAATGTGTCAATGGGAACGCTGTATGGGTGATCGGTTCACGACGGAAGTGGCAAATGCATGGAGTCATTTGTTTGTGTTCTTAATGGAAAAGTTAAAAGAGGGATATTCTTCACACGAAGTGTCATTTGAAGCTCATTTGAAAAATAAGAATGATAACAGTTGACCAATTCACATTGTTGTAAATCAAATTCTGTGATAATAATGATAAACCATTTGCATGTACAAGTTTATTTATAATTCAACTCCTGAAATGTAAGTTTATGAGTGTTTTTAAGTTGACTTTAACTTTAAAGAGATTTATTTTAAGGAGAAAGATGACTTGCTCTTTTCAAATTAAAGCTTTGCTGTTTATGGTTATATTTACGTGTATATGTATTGGTGGTTTCAAATAAATGTAAACTACGAACTTTTGATATATCGTTCGATCTTTCTATTGTTTTTTATTCTATTGTAAAAGTTGCTTTCGTTCGCCAAAGATAAATGATAACTGATAAATGCATATATCAAAGTCATCAATTTTTAAGTTGTTTCATATTTCTATAATAATTAGTGTGCATTAATTATCGTATGTCTTTCTTATCGGTTATGTGTTTGAATATATTGTGAACATGAGGCTCAATAAAGTGTCGTATAAGATAAAGTCATCAGACGTAACATCTTTTTGAAATGTTTGTTTTTTTATTCAACAAGTCTATATTCATCATTCACACGTCATGATTACGACTTGTTTTACTTTATATGGTTATTTTAGCCTTAATCAGCCATCTAAATATTCTCACTTTATCTGGAAATGAATTATATTTAGTGAGTACTAATTTTTCATGTTTTCGTCATTTGGACTCTTCTGTCAAAAAGTATTGTTAAATTATTTTGCTCTTAAAAAAACTGAATTCTGATATACAGAGACAAAGGCAATTACAGCTTTTAGAGAGAAACCTTAACCGTCAATTCCATTACTAAAAAGAAACAATTTAATTAAAAGACAACTAGACAAATAATCGAATGAAAATAAATCATTTAATTTTAATACATTTGACCTGACTTTCCAAAGTGCTTAGATTGCTCAACTTTCTTGTTATAAGCAGGAAATAATTTGATTCAATATATCTCATAAAATGCAAAAATACATTATCACAAAAGGCAAAAACAAGAATCCTTTTAAAGACAGATGTCCCACTTTATTATTTAAAATGTTTTACAATGCACACTGCAGGTTTTTAGTTGATCAGGCATTCAACTAGAGAACGCAATATTATCGTTATATTTCTTAAATCTAAACACATTGCTTGGTTTGTGGATTCATGTCTCCAATCCAAGAGAATGATAGACAATAAAGTTGTTTAATCGGCAATTGGGAATGCAGCACTTGCATGGATTGTACTTTTCATTATGCCCAGGAATTTCAATATTGCGTGTGTGATTGGTCATAGCCAATAAATGTTTTAATTTGATTGTCTTTAAGCATATTGTATATATTTGACGGATTATTATTCTTCACTTGTTTAAAAAGATTTGGTTAAAACATGAAAATATTTTAACATCACTGATAAAAATACAAAGAAAGTCAAATATCCTTCAATACGTATAGAACTCCTTTATCAATGTCAGACAACTTACGCTTCAATCTTGAGGCCAATTTCAAAATGATTTAACATATTTCACCTTTGTCGTCAAATATGTTTTATCATTAAGGAGATTAAAAAAACTTTGATTTGCAATAACGTTATTTGCATTATGCTAGCGTGTTTTGTACGCAATTTCTCAATATCTGTATAAAGATATTAATTAGACAATTTTCTTCTTACAATATGATATGCAAGACATTGCATTCAAGTCATAGTTTTTGAACATCTTTTTATCATTGTTATTATTTTTATAAATAAGTTCTGTACTTTCAGCTTTTGATCGTGACACACAGAAACGTACAAATGAAAAATCATATTTTCTATTTTAAATAGCAGGCTGAAAGTGTTTTATTAGCTTATCAGTTTTAAATATATTACAATAAAAATGTTACCTTTTAAACGGGCGTCATAATTGTTCATGCAATTTTCACGCAGAAACATGTTTTGTTATTGTACATATGTCTTAATATATTCTATTGGATGATCGTTCACAACTGCATTTCTAGAGAATGATAGACAATAAAATTCTTCTCTCAGCAATAATGTATTCAGCTCTGACATTGCTATTGCATTTGATATCGTTATCATTGTGAATGTAGGAATATTAATATTGCGTGATGGATAGATTATGGTCATTTGTGTCCAGTACAAAGTCATACAAAAATGTGAGACGTCTTTAAATCTTATTTAACATTTAACTAGTGTCAGACGACTAACGATTTAAACGTTTACGGCTGATATTTATATTTAAAAACATTTTGACCAGTACCGTCCAAAATTTTCTTTCCCAATGCGATATTTTTGAAAGAAACGTTTATTTGCAATAATTATATTGTAAAATTAATTGTGCTGTTTTATTCATTTTTGTTATTTTGTAGGAAATTTGACATTTTTTGAAGGTATGTGCTTTAGTTAAATCAGACATGGCTTGTATGTAATGCTTGAACTTCTGTTTCACAGATATGCATGACATTTCATATATCTAATAGTTTCATGATCCTCTTATTTTTCGTGGTTGATTTTGTTTTTGTTTTCAACACTAAGAAAGCAAGTTACTTATCAATGATTGGAAGAAAAAAAACTTTAAGGGCATTTATATAATCATTCTAGTTATTATCTAGTAAAAACTACATTCCTATATAAAGAAACTCAGTGTGTTAGTTATTGCAAATTGTATTTTGGCGTCAAACACTCTAAAAATGCTGTAATTGCATTATAACAGTATTGCCATTTACATTGAAGTAAAAAAATTCCGGCAATATTACGGTTGTACGATATTCATTATTTTGGATAAAACCTGTAAAATCGCTTTATTTCAATAAACATTTTAAATGCAATACCACAAAATGCAAAATCAAGAAACCTTTCCAAATAAAGACGTCAAAAATTCTGTCACGCAATATATGCCATTTGTTGACATGCGCATGCATAGCATTTTTTCAGCTGATTATTATTCAACTAGCAAAACAATGTATTTTGTTTTTGTACATACATTTTAATTCATTTTACTGGATGATGATTCACATCTGCATATGTAGAAATAGATAGTAATGATGGACCATAAAACTGATTTATTAGCAGTTGTGAATTCAGCGCAGGCATTGCTATTGCTTTTATGTTGAGATAGCAGGATTTTAAATATCAATTGAGGGATAGATTACGGCGTTTCTTCTTTTTTCTGTTAACATGAGTGTGTTCAGTACTTTAAGCAGTTCAAAGTTCAACAAAATATAGATAACAGATTATTGTTTCTTATTTGTTTCGGAAGGATTTGTTTCAAATAATTATATATATTCGAGCATCATCACTGACAAAAACATTGTTTTATTTATCTTTATTTATAAAGATCGCACACCCACAACTAATATAGACTTATTTTACAAATATAAAATGACTTAAGCTTCATCCCTAAGTCAAATGTCAGTATAGAACATTTGTCTTTTACTGTCTTTTTCTGTCCACGATCTACTTTGGTTTAGAAGATTTCAATACCATAGAATGAAATAGAATTCATCGCACACATACAAAATGCATAATGTTTAATTTTGGTTAAGGTTGCAGACTGAAGTGTGTTATTTACATATCCATTTTAAATACATTACAGCATTGAAAAAAATCCTGAAACCTTTTAAAATGGACGTTGAAATTGTGTTATGCAATATATAAAGTCTGTTGTCATGCACAATGACACACGGACTTCAGTTGCATTAGTATTTAACCGACAAACGCAATACTGTCGATATTTTACATAAATCTAAATACATTTTATTGGATGATTATTTACGTCTACATATCTAGAGAATGGCAGACATAAAATTGTTTTATCGACAATTGTTAATTCAGCGGAAGGATTGCAATTGCCTTAGCTTACGTATTAAATGTGAATACCGGAATTTAAATAAAACTTGAGGAACAGCTTATGGTTCCCTTAGTTTACGTTTAGCATGAGAATATTCAGTACTTTAAGGGACACACAATGCAGGATAATGTTGGTATTTTTCCTGATTTGTTTTGAAAGAATTCGTTTAAATAATAAAACACACCTTTAAACATCAACACTGGAAAAAATACTTAAACATAACAACAAAGTCGATGGCCCTTTAGTCGATATATACCTCTTCGGACAGTGCCAAACGACTTATGTGCAAGCCTTCGTGTTCATTGAGTCCAACACTTTTAAGTGTTGAAAATTGAGTACCGCTCAAGCCGGTGCAAGTGGGCGTGAAGAATGTTGCACTTATCTCATATACATGTATGTTCTGACTCAATCAAACCGAGTCTGCAGTTTTCGTGTTATTTATTTGTGATGAATGCTTCCGAGAGATCACACTTTACTCAGAGATTATTGATCGGTCTCTCAATTGAAAGAAATATTTGCATTTTTCTTCCATGTCAATTATTTCTAAAATAATATTCTTACCTCAATGGACTTTTAATACTGCACACATCTTTTGATGCATCTACGTTTTTTACTAATTTATATGCTAAATTTATTTCTTGGCTGAAGTAGTGATAAAGGTTTTACTAATACTTTGTCAATACGATTACCTTTTATTGCTAAAAGAAGGCCGAGGTAGCCATATTTTACTGATTCTCTTAATTTGTATTATTTAACAGTATTGTGTAAGTTTTGATTGTTGAATTTTTCCAGGCAGTTAATTTTTTTTAAATAAAACAAATGTCAAAAGATTATGCCGGATAAATAAAAATATATGCAAGGACGTTTACGTAAGTAAGGAGCTGTTTTTGTATCATTACGAACAGCATAATGTCAGGGTTTTTGCTGCAGTTGTTGATACTTTGGAAGCTTTTTATAATCCTCAATGATTATAACATAAAAGCTAAAACGATAAAGCAAGAAAAACAGAACAATGTATATAAAATAATATAGGTCGCCAATTGATGGTTCTGTTATAAAATGTTTGTTCAGATATGTTTTTAACAGTGTACTCAGAATTCTAAGCTTTTGATACATGAAACAAAGAGCCTTTGATATAACAAAAACGTTTTTTTTCTAGTTGATATTTCTTTTGAAAAC